TTAAAGCTACACAAATCGTCCAATATCAACAGCATTGACCAAGAATTTGCGCAACTTAGCAAAATCTAAATAGCCAAAGCTCAAATTAAAAACATTCCCATCAAACGCAACTTTCTTCAAAGCCCGTATCATCCACAGAATACAAAGGTTAGAACCTAGGACGTTATCGTAACGATTGATTGAAGTCAAGAAAAAACGAATTCCTAAAAAACAGCTTCATGTTTGTTCATCGTCAAAACTTAAACCAACACGAACCCTTAGTAGAAACAAAATCGACCCACAAGTTCATAGCTACACAAAATTCAGTTTTTCCAGCGACCCACAAGTTCGAATCCAAAATTACCTTAAGAGAACACACGAACACGAACACACTTCAACCCAGATTTCTTCGAGCTTAGAGTGTAAAAATGAGAAAGATGAAAGATATATAGAGAGCAATCGAACCCTTTCTTATCGCTTCTCACAATCGATGAAAAAGAGATTGAATAAGAAGGAGAAGAAGAAGAAGAAGAAGAGAGCGTTCGCATGCGTTTGTCGTCGGCGACTCGCTCGTGAACGACAGTTACAAATCAAGTCGAGGTCGGAACTAGGGTTTTTAATTTCAATTTGATTCTGGTTAACTAGGTGCATACCGTAACTGAGAACCGAAACTATAAGAACATGAACCGATCCGGTTCTTTGGTTTTATCCGAATTTGAATCGGAAAAAAAAAACAGATTTAGGATCGGTTCGGGTCGGTTTGGCTTGGTTTGGACTTTGGATAATTTACCCAAACCTTGTTTATCTATATCTTATCACATAAGAAATCTCTTATGTGATAAGATATAGATAAGAATGAATAAACAACAAAATGGTTTGAAATTTTCTTAGATTAGTTACCTCACTTAAGCTGCAAATAGTGTTAATAAAAGAAACGAGTTGATATACCATATTATATCACATATGGTAAGTTGAATAATAAAACTGAGATGAATAAAATTAGTTTATTGAAATGCTCTTCTTCATAGGAAAAAGTGTAAGAGAGAATATTAATCGAACATACAAACTATTAATTGTGTTTGTCGTTGTTGTTGTGTTGTGAATTTTAATGATTTGAAACAATACGTCCAATTGGTTTCCATCTTTTCTTTTTTGGCCTTTATAGGTTTTGCAATTTAATTAAACTTTTGCATGTTGTATGTACTAGATCTGGATTTTAGAGTTGATTTTCATATGATAATAAATGAATGCGTTATTTCTTTTAACTAATAGTGAAACATACGAAAGAGAGTATATAGTGTTGAAGTTGTCTTTCGTCTTTGAAATTGAAATCTAGAAATTGTGCAATACCGATAAACGAAATAGAAGATAACTTAGAGCAACTCAACCTAATTTATCTTGTAATTAGAGCAACTCAACTCAATTCGTTTAAATTTTCGTGAACCAGTATCTACACTAATAAAATAAAAAAAATTAAAGCTTTTGGGAGTGTCCATGTTAACTTATTTGAATTTTTTTTCGAACTGCCACACCAATCAAAGTCAAACACATCATATAATTTAG